GTGGGTGGGACAGCGAGATCCACGCAGCCAGCACTCGTCTTTGAAGCTGCGGCCTTGCACGAAGTAATCGGTGACCGCCTGGCGGTCGCCGAGCGGTACGTTGAGGCGCCGGATCTGCTTTGTGATGGTGCCGTACCCGGCGGCAGGCATGTCGACCTCGGCAATGCAAGATGCCCGGGGTGACAGGATGAAGGCACCACCCCTGCTGGCGTAGTCTGCAAGGCCCTGCAGCACGGTGCCGGGGATGTGGCCGCTTATAGGCCGCACAATGACGGCCGCTGGAAGGTACTTGAGCCGGCGATAGGGGCCACGGCTGTCATCTGCTGGCTCGCGGCCATCCTCAAGCAGGCCGCAGGCTTCCACCTCGTTGTTGTGGCTCGCTCCGGCATCGGCAGCAGTTGTATCAAGGAGGATGTATCGGGCGCCATGGTAGTACCACGTGTCGGCGGTGGTGTGGCCAAACTCGTGATCCTTGATCCGCATCGCAACTGCTTTCTCCACGTGTGTCAGGGCCGGTTCCGCAGCAGCACCACGCTTCTGGACAGGGACGTGGTCCACATTCCACACCACAAGGCGCTGATTCTTGCGCTGTGCCTCCAGCATGATGAGCCGGGTATTGAGTGTGTGGCGTGGTTCGTTCCTCTGCAGCACGACGCGCGGCTCGAGGTGTGCCAGGTCGGCCAAGTCGACGATGGCGCGGCTGTTAAGGTCGTCGACCATCTCGGCTATGCGCTGCTCGGTGGCTGGCTCACCGCCGAACATAGAGGCATACTCTGTCAGGCGACGACCAGAGGGGCTGCTGTCCTGGCGCTGCTGCTTCTCCAGCAAGAAGACCGTCTTAGCCAGGGATCGGTAAACCCGGAAGCCCTCAAGTATGCAGCTATGCGTCTGTGGGACGGCCCGGGGCCGGTGTGCTGCTGCTTCGGGTTGCTGCTGACCGCCTTGAGATCCAGCGGCGGCCTCATTAGGGTCGTCATCGTTGTCCTCCTCTCCGTGCAGAGGTTGCGCGGTTGGGACAGAGGGCGAGAACTGAGGGTTGCATTCCACAGCAGCGGCGTACCGGTAGAGGGGCGGGCCACCTGGCTTCGGGTGCTGGAACTCGTCGCCCGTGTTGGCACTGGGACGGCCGCTGAAGATGGTGGCGGCGGGGTGGTCGCCGGCGAGATGCGGTGGCGGCAACAGGTGACGAGTGCAGGACTGGTTGCACGCACCCAGGTGGTCCAGGCTGTTCATGCCGATCTCGTCAATAATGAGTGCACCATCGCCGACATTCCGATGCACCTGTAGGCTGGCTGCGCTGCCTTTCCTGACGCTGTCCACTCGGTTGCTGCCAGCAGATAGGGCAAACATGGCGTGGGTAGAGAGGCTGCGATGCACCGGCGTGCTGAAGGCAGTTGCAGCAGCCCATGAGTAGGCGCAGGTGGCCGCCCAGTGCGGACAGCCATGCTGGAAGGTGTACCACAGGAGCGCTTGTACGAACTGGCTCTTTCCGGTACCGGGCTTGCCCTCCACAAGCATCTGCGGCGGGTCGCCAGGGTTGGGCTCATCGCGATGATCGAAGTACCGAGCCATGAGCATGAAGGGCACGGCCTGGTGGGGGGCAAGCGTGAACAGCTCAATGGTGTCGTCGATGCTGGGCGGCTGGGGGAGGTGCACATAGATGGGCATGCGAGCCTGTTCAGTCCGCTCAGGAGTGCCAGGCATGCGCACGATGGCGACCAGGGGTCCGCTGGTGGGGCGGTGCAGCTCGACATGAGGGGTGTCCATCTCAGGTGTGGCCGTCAGTCCCGTGTGGGCGCCCCCATCTGCCTCAACAGTCCCGGCTGCTGCTGCAACGAGATACCGCTTCAGACGCTTGGTCGCTTCAGTCAGGAGGGGCAGGTCCGCTGGCGTGATCCGACGGCTGAAACGATTGCTGCGTGCACCATGGCCGTCCGCTAGGGCCGGGGCTCGGCAGCGCCGTGCTGCATCATAGGCATACACGCCAGCAGCGTTGGTGCAGTCAAACAGGTCCGTAAGAGCGACGGCGGCGAGGTCGGTGCCAGCCGTCGGATACTCCTGACCTGGGATGTACACGAAGTGCTCCAGCTGGTCCTCGGCGGGCGGCTGTGTTTCAGGATCAGGCCTGAGATGCCCGCGGACGCCGTCATCGGCATCTCCATCTGAAGCGCTCGTGCTGTCACCTTCAGGCCGCACCGCTGCTGCCGCTGCCGCACGCTGCTGGCGGCGCCGCTGGTTGTACTCCGCCTGACGGCGGGCTTTCCCAGCGTGGTCCTCTTCGATGTTGTCCAGCAGCACCGATACATACGCCTGGTACGAGCGACCTGCCTCGGTAGTGCCCAGCTCTGCCCACCAGGTGTCGTAGGCTTCCTTTACAGTCAGCCCGGGGGGGATGGGCTGACCCCGGTGAGCTTTGAAAGTACCCAGGACAAACGCATAGTACTGCGCCATGCCCGCAGCAGAGGTGCCAGGGCGGGGCCGGCGGGGAAGAGAGCCTCCAAGCTGTACATAGCGCGGCCGTGGCAGGCGGACGTGGACATGTGTTCTGTAGAGCGGATGTGTGCCGTGGAAGGCCACCAGGCGGGGCAGCTCCGTGGCCGTCTGAGACGTTGGCTGGTCGAGTGTCGCTGCAGCTGTAGGAGCAGGTGGCTCAGGAGGAGGGGCCGGGGCTGCAGTCAGCAGAGGCACAGGGGCAGGCACAGGGGCGGTTATGGGTGTGGCTGGGGTAGTGCGCTTGCGGCGTCGAGCTGCCACCGGGATCTGTAGACCCAATCGCTCTCGGTGCGGGTGCTGAGCTGGCAGCACACGTCGGACCTCGTAGTTGGAGGCTATGTTGTACACACTGCAGTCCAGGCCGCTGAGTTCTTCCCCCCGCAGCACGTAGTTATGCACAGCGTTGGTCACCGTGTAGCCCTCCTGCTCCTCAGCCTCCACCAGTACTGCCGCTGTGGTCGCCGCCTCAGGAGATTGCTCGGCGCCCGCAGATAGCGCTGTGAACGCGTCTACCTGCAGGTATGCGCAGTCGAATGTCGCCTCGAAGGTGGAATGACCATCTAGCTTCATGGCGACAAGCGCCATACCAGCCGTAATGGAAGCGGTCATGCGATGCACAGTGGCGCACATGTTGCCAAACGCGGTGGGCCCACTGGCACCCGGATTCGGCGTCCTTCCAGCTAGCAGGAAATCCTGCACTCGGGTAAGAGCGTTGCATGTCAGCTGCGCCTGGCTGTCGTTGATGCTCTTGCCAGTGTACTTCGTGCTGTAGTAGGCAGCATCGCGGGCGCGGTCAGCAGCAGGCTGCAGCAGCACACAGTCCCCCCGTTCATCTTCAGGGCGGGCCAGTTGTGCTGCTGCCTCTGCCGTGTAGACGCGATCCACCTCGCACGCCAGACTAAACAGCTGGTTGCACCCAAATGCCAGCGCTGCAGCTGGCATGTGCGGTACAATGTTCGGGCCCAATCGCGGCAGAAGGAAGAGGCCGCCGGTGCCAATCCACTGGAAGGCGCTGCGCAGGACACGAGGGAATGCCATGCCACAGCTATCAATGTGCCACGGCAGCCGTGTCGCTTGCAGGTGTCGTTATGTGTATGAGTAAGCGTGCTGCGAATGACGGCTGCGTGGTGCGCATGGCAAGCAGCGTGCCGGGGAGGCGGCGGGAGTCCGCCACCTGCACAGCCGGCCAGCCTGCCAAAATCGTATGCTGCAGGCGGGCAGGACTTGTCAACGGGCGGAGGCGCACGGCCATGCTGCTGGACCTCTTCGACGGTCATGTCCATGACGTAGTGTTCTGCACCGTGGACGAAAGGGTCATAGTACGGCGAGGGATACCACATGGCGCACAGGGCGTATGCCAGGGCCAGCGCTCGGCAGTTGGGTCCACTGAACAGCGCCTGAAGGCGCTCGACTGCGAACGTGGCCACATGCGCAACACCATGGATGTGCAGGGCGAGGCGGCCGCTCTGCTCCACCTTGACCGCCACCTCAAATGTGAGCCCACAGAAGCAGCGCGGGTTTGTCTGCTGCATGGCGCCCGGCGCGAAGCCGAAGAGCTCCTCCACCAGAACCTCCTTGGTGGCCACCAGCAGGGCGGCGCAACTGTACGGGTCATCCTTCACACGCCGCCACTTCTCCACCGTGCTCGGGATATGTTGCGGTCGTCCATCATTGTCGAAGTCCAACACCTGTCCGGAGGCCACGACTGCACAGGCTGCATGCATATCTGCCGGATTTATGGTGAAGAACAGCGGGGGCCAGCCAATGGTGAGGGCGGCTGCACGCATCTTGGATCGGGCACCGTTGTAATACGCGTCTGTGAGGTCGAGACGCAGAGTACTGAGGCGGGCCCCCTCCACCAGCGCCTTAACCAGCGGCGACTGCTGCGCAAGCAGCTGCCGCCGCTGCGAGTGCCAATACGGCAGCGCCAGTATGGTGCCCATAGCACGGATTACATCACGCGGCACACACGCCGCTGGTTTGCCAAGATGCGGCCGCATGTTCATGGTGATGCCCACTTGCACCATGCTTTCATGGCGCACGCAGATGTCGTACATGCGTGCCAGCAGCATGAGATTGCCGCCGAATTGTGTCCGCGGCACGCGGTGCAGCAGGTGGCGACAATACGCCGGAAAAGACATGCCGCGGGGGCGCTGACCAGAAAAGCCGTACGGGAAGGACTGGGGGAAGCAAAGGGTAAGGATGGCGGGATGACGGTCATCCAGCACGTGGCTGTCACGGCCACCAGCCGCAAACGCAAGCCGTGCGCGGCCAGTCAGAAGGTCCTCCACTCGGCCCGGGAAGCGGTCAATTTCGCTGCCATCATCACCCACATTCGACGGCTGTGGCAGGATCAGCTCCAGCTCGTCCAGAGTGGCAGCTGCCGGATCGACTGCAGGATCAGACGACAGATGCGCAAGAGCTGGGTCAGGATGCATGATCTGGCAAGTCATGCGATGTGTTAGCATGGCGCATCAACGGCCGTAAATGCAGTGTGGCGTGTACATATGCCGGACGGAAGTGGAATCGAAGCACCTCAAACACGCCACAAACAAGCGAAGACGCGTTTAGCCCTATGCTCAGCCAAGCAAGAGAACGCACGCACCTGGCGCACCTTCAGCTGGCTGGTCGGCAGGTTCCCGCAGGATGGCGGTGAATGGCCCCGGCCCAGGGTTCTGTCCTGCACTCAAGAATACATACAGAGGAGTAGTAGAATACACCACTAGCGGGACAGGCGAGGGTGCTGCAGGAGTCCAGCTTCTCCAGGTGGTCAGGCTGTGCATCAAGATCCGTCAGCACAAGAGGAGCACCCTCTTGATGCACGGGGCAGCGGCGGTAGCAACTGTCCGGTGCAGAAAGTGCAGTATGAGGGCAACACGAAAACAGAGGGCACACAACAGCTCGCATGAAACACAGTAACAAAAGAACACACCTGCATTCGGGGTCGGATCCGCCAGCGTAGGTTGCACGGGTCCTGCAGTATCCACGTCAGGTGCCGCAGCTGCATCGGCAAGATTGCCATCACGAACAGCCGCTTCCACCACGTCCTGGAACTGCCGCACACCTGCCGCACCCGTGCGGTCGTGCAGGAAGGTGGTGCGGAGAACGTTCGCCACCTCCGGATCCGTTGGTGCAAGGGCGGCATGCAAGATTTCGTCCGGCACGCCTGCAGCACAGCCCATGCGCTCGTACTCCTGCAGAGCATCCTCATCAATAGCCAGCTCCTCCTCATCGTTGTGCTGCAAAAAACGGACCCAGGCGACGATGACCTGTCCTCGCACCTGAAGACCTGGCGCCTTTCGCATGCGTTCTAGCAGCTCCGCCCGGCTGCGAACCTGGTCGACACAGACAACTGTGATAGCGCCGGCCAGGTCAGATGCCCGCGCCGGCAGCTGTGCTCGCAGCATATTCGGGTCAGGATTTACGACCCCAATGCCGTGAGTCTTTACAGCACGCGGGAAGACGTCCGGCGGTCGGTCTGCCAGGTACATGATGAGCAACTGCTGGACGATGCGGCCGCGGCCCAGAAGCTGCCCCTCCAAGAAAGTGGGGGACGGCAGAGGGTCACCCAGATGATTGACGCGCGGCACATCACCAGGGTCCAGGCGCGCCAGTGCAGCTTCGGGGACTCGCCGAGCTGCAGGAGAGGAGCAAACATGGACAAGCAGAGCTGAGATGACTAGGAAATCAGTATGAACGTGGCCAGCAAAGGTAGGAGAAACAACTACATGCTGTGGATGAACGGAGCAAGAAGATGCAGGCAGAAGTTACAACTCATAGCAGAGACTGACTCACCGCTCAGGGCCTTGTGGCAGATGTTGCATACGAAGATGCGTTCTGTAGCGCCATCACCAACCAGCATAGTGCGGTTGGGCAGGTCCGGCTCCAGACGCATGCAATACGGCACCTCAACACTGGAGGGGTCGTCCAGACAGGCTCTGGGCAGCACCCGCGGGGGGCGCGGCTGTTGATCCGATGGAAGCTGATCAGGCGGCTGCTGCTCAGTCGTCGCTGACTCTGAACCGCCGGTTCCCGGAGCATCCCCATCCACCTCTAATGCTCCTTCCGCTGCATCATCTACCAGCCTGCCTGCTCCACTGCCGCCGTCCTCATCCACAGCACCATCCCGCTCAGCCCGGCTAACACGATACCGAGCAGGCAGGACTGGGTCAGGTGGCGGTGGTGCGTCTCCCTGAGCTGTACACGCCATCCGCCGCCACACCAGAGTATGCCCCCAGCGCTGCACAGCGTCCGTACACATGACGTCTGCACGTAAAATGTCAACATTGGGAATCTCCATCCAGTGCAGCACCGTCGACTGGTCCTCCGAGCACACCTCTGAGCACACAGCACAGACACGGGAGGGCATGCGCCGGCGCAAGGCAGCAGCCATGGTCGACGCACAGTGCAGCTGCACGGTGTAGGGTACCTGCCTGTCAGGCGGTAACTGACCGCCAGGAAGGTCCTGCACGTGGCCCTCTGGAAGTGCCAACAGAAACTCGGGCAAATCAATGGCGTCATCACCATGAAGGTTCGCGAACCGCAGGAGGCGGTGCATGCGAGCCAAGAGGGTATCCTTAGGAGTGGCCTGCTGATTCTGCTGCTGCACCTGGCGTGCAGCTGCATGCCGTGCTGTGTTCCGCTGCTGCTGAAGCACCCTTACCTCCGGGTCAGCGTGTGCAGCCGCATGCTGTGCTGTGTTCCGCTGCTGCTGGAGCACCCTCACCTCCGGGTCAGCACGTGCAGCCGCATGCTGTGCTGTGTTCCGCTGCTGCTGGAGCGCCCTCACCTCCGGATCAGCACGTGCAGCCGCATGCTGTGCTGTGTTCCGCTGCTGCTGGAGCGCCCTCACCTCCGGATCAGCACATGCAGCGGCATGCTGTGCTGTGTTCCGCTGCTGCTGGAGCACCCTCACCGCCGGATCAGCACGTGCAGCGGCATGCTGTGCTGTGTTCCGCTGCTGCTGGAGCGCCCTCACCTCCGGATCAGCACGTGCAGCGGCATGCTGTGCAGCATCACGCAACTGCTGCTGCACCCTCACCTCCGGGTCAGCCCGTGCAGCAGCATGCTGTGCTGTGTCATGCATCCGCTGCTGTGCCCTCACCTCCGGGTCAGCACGTGCAGCTGCGTGCCGTGCAGCGTCCTGCTGCCGCTGCAACAACCGTAGTTCAGGAAGGGCTGCCGCACGCTGTGCAGCTTTCTGCCGCCGCCATCTCTCCCGTACTTCTGCAGCAGAAGCATCAGCACCCTGGTGCTGCCCCTCCAGCTGTGTATCTGCAGCAGCTGCCTCTGCGGGCCCCGCTGAATTTATTTGCATGGCTGTCTGCTGTGCTGCGGCATGCTGCTGCTGCTCAGCTGCACGGCCCGTACTCAAATCAGCGAACGGACGTATTCTTCCACCACTGCGGAAGCCGTCCGCAAGCGAGCCCAACCGGAGCCGTTTCGAAGCAGGCGACTGATCCGACATGAAGGCGGACCCGGCGAAGCGAGCACGTATACTAATTAAGCCGTTAAGGATACGAGGTTGTGAACGGCGAAGAACGCGAAAAAAGCAAAAAGAAAGAGCAAAAAACTTGAAAATATTCCGGCACAGTGACAAGGGGAATTGCGAGAATCGTCAAAGCTCACAAGCGAAGAACGGCGCTGTATGAAGCGCGTACGGCATTAATTCCGACGCGGAATCGAAGCGCGCGAAAGAAGCGAAAAGAAAGAGCAAAAAGCTCGAAAGTAATTCGGCACAGTGGCAAGGTGAATTGCGAGCATCGTCAAAGCTTACAAGCGAAGAACGGCGCTGTATGAAGCGCGTACGGCATTCATTCTGTTGTGAATGGCGAATAACGCGGAAAAAGCAAAAAGAAAGAGCAAAAAACTTGAAAACATTCCGGCACAGTG